GATGGCTTACTGCATAAACCCTTTACAGGGTGCTTACATCATACAGGGAACGAAATGCCTGCAAGTCCAACCTATACAGGTACAATACACGTCCGTCCCACCAACTTTGGCGGTAAGGTGGCCATGGAAGGGGGTGCGCCGGTCCTCCCCTTGGAAAAATATCAAAAATTGAAGGCGGCTGCAAGCATTTTGGAGCTATTTCAGTGTAACTACAATGAAATACCTTTTGATTCTGTGACACACCAAGAAGACACTACGATCGGGGACAAGGATTCTTCATTATTCACCAAGTTTGCGCTGACCTGTGTTTATCGTGCTTTGTTGCAGTATGCTCCAAAAAAAGCGACGGCAAACGTGGGGCGGCCTTAGCTGCCCCAGCCGCCCCGCGGCCCGGCTGTGACAGCCTTGCAGTAAAATCCCCCAATCCGGGCACGTCTGTCCACCGGACACCTTTCTGACCCATCTAGAGTCACAAGATTGGCTTTCCAGTTTCCAATGAAAACCGGCCCCAAAACAATTGATCGGCGTAAAACGGTTTACTTGCATGCAAAAAGTATGTATGTTCTAAGTTACGGGCAATCCCTATTTATGCGTAGTGGCAGGTTCCAACCTGCCCGTATTGGGGGAGTTTTTACTGTATGTCCTGATCGATATTTTTCACTGCTGCATGGCATTGTGTAAGTAGTTCGGTACTCGGGTGCTCGAGCCATATTATTACTCTTGTTGTGCAAGCCATTCACTTTCAGATAACGAGTACAGATGTTTTGGCCAGTAGCGGCAAGTTACAGTACAATGGATGTGTGTGTTTGTGTGTATTTTGTTCGGTTCAGTGACTGAGTACCAAGCTCTGTGCTTTCATGTGCATGCGATGGCCATGTGGTTGTCCTCGTACTATGTATGTGTGCACATGCACATGTCTGCCTTTGGTCATGCATGTACATGCGTGGTACGTGTTTCTCTTCTTCTTTCTGTCTCCCAATGCAGGTTCTCGGGTCCTCTTCATTATGATTTGCCACAATTTAGCCCACTCCAAACAGGGTTGGCATTGGACATTTGCGATGAGTCGTCCAAGTCATACCTCCTCTCCTCCTGGGTTTGGGGAAATCCTTCAAAACCGGGTTGCCATAAAAAAAAGACAGGTGTTCTGTTCAGCCCACGGGGATTTGGTATGGGTATGGTGGGGGGGGGGGGGTATGGAGTGCTGGTGATGACATGCTTGGTTGTTTCCTTGACTTGGCAAAAACGTATCATACCATAGAATGGTGTGATACTCTGAGAAACATGTTTGTGTTCTTTACATTGTGCATTTCATTGTCACCTGACTCCTGTCAATTTTCAGCGGATTATGCAAAATATCACCAAGTAAGTAGTGTGTCTTGTCGTGTTACTTTATCTGTGGACGTCAGGCACCCCTGAGATCCGGCAGGGGAGGCTGTTGAGGGAAAAATCTGCGCAAAAGTCTCCAAGTTCATCCTTCACTGTGAGTACCGCTGCCTGGCCGTAGGGTACAGTACACAGTTTGTTTGGCTCTGGGCGTGATTTGCTGCTTAGATTGATTTTAGCACTACACTGACCAGATGTCTTGCATAGCATTGCTAGCGGTGTGTTACGCGACACTGTCAGTTTCCTCTTTCTATTGTCTTCCCCTGTTTGCTCCAGATCCAGGCTGGTGATGTCCTGGACTGGATGATTGCTGTGGAATTGTTGTGAGGCTGCCAGGACCAGGTAGGGACATGCAGTTAGTGTTGTCAGTGGTGATGTCTAGTGATAGTTAGTGTTGTCAGTGGTGATATCTAGTGAGTGGAATGTTGTCAACGATAAGCGTTTCCCTGATGACTTTAGTGAATTGTGTTACATTGTTGCGCCCCCCCCCCCCCCCCGACACTCGTCGTTTCCTGTTTGCCTTCTTACAAGTTGTGACCGGTGGATGTTTTTTCCTCTTGTATGTTTCTGCAGCGACGTGATGGCGGCTGCAGCGCAGGGCAGTGGAGATGAAGGCTGCTACAAACCCGAAGTATCCCTGTGCTGTGTTTTTTTCTATAGGGCAACTTCCTCTCCCCATTCAGTAGTCAATTCGTTCCTCTGAAGTTCCTTTTCAAATGCAACACTACTTACTTGCATATTTTTGCCCTCCACTATCCATTTTATTCAGTCGATCGAGCCACTTGCTGCCAATATTTTTACCCTTTGTATTCGGATACAGGGCAACTGTGTTTCTTCGCTTCGCCAATTGTAGATATAGTTCATTGACGAATCCGCCACTCGCAATCGTAACTTACCGAGTTCTAGGGATGACACGTTCTTTGACCGCCCTTTCTTTTCTGGTTGGGAGTGGGGAGGGGAAGTTGCTGTCATGTATGCTTCTACATAGTTCACACACCCACATCGGCTGTGTTGTTTGTTCTTGTGCTTGATCATTGTTTTGTGCTGTGTGTTTCCATTTATTACAGGACGCCGTCCCCGGAGCCAACACCAAGTCGAGATGGATTGGTGACCTTTGGCACTGCTACACTAACTCACCTAAGTATCCCTTTGCCGTGCATGATTTTTGGACGTTCCAACACTGTCACTGTGTTTCTTTCCCGCAGGCCCTACACATTCTCTCCGGGTCCATTTACTGGAAATCTCCACCCTAAGTAGTTCGTGTCTCCCATGTATATGTTGGTTGTAGATATCTTCAGAACTACAGTACTCCCTGCAGTGTGTTACTCGTGAAATTATACCACTCAGGCCAGAAAATTCCAAGAAGACTGAATTAGACTTTCAGCCAAGATTTATGGAATTAGGATCGGTATGCCATGGCAAAAAGTATGGAGAAACAGGTCCGAAAACCCAGATTTCTCAAGTATGAAGTGAGACTATGAGTCAATTCGGCCAACTTCAGGCTTTCCAAAGCTAGCGGAGCTATTTTGGGTGAATGGACTGCAGTGTACTCCATTCTGCCGTTACTGATACTTCCACAATCAGTGCACTGGTCTGTTGTGAATGCTGGTGTGCATGTCTGCACGCATTATGGGATAATGTCCTGACCCTGACCCTGTGCGAGGTCCCCTGTGGCTGTAGTCTGGTAGTGCAATACAGTGTTAGATTTGGAATACATGCTTCACTTAGTCCACCCTGGGTGTAGCAAAGCATCATGTGCAGCCATGATGCTGTTGACCCTGCGTGAAGCTGTGCATTGCTTGGCACCTGTTTTATGGTGGCATGCTTGTGCCATTCCCCGTGTGCATTCACTGGGTGTGTAGGTAGGTAGCTAAGAGACAGTGTTGTTCTGGACCAGGTTCATCTCTGTCTTCTCCTTTGCTGTGTGTTTCTCCTCCCAGCTCAGGACAAGCGACGGGGCGGGACAGGAGGACACGCTCGCGACACCCAGGGATGCACAAGGTAATTGATTTGTGTTGTAACCAGACCTGCTTTGTGTGGCGATTGTTGATGAAGCTGGGCATACCAATGACTGTCCGATAGTTGTAGGAGAGTTGATAATTTGCCAGGCAAGCCCACGGGAGGGCTGCTGAATAAGTACAAATTTTTGTTTGGAATTAACTTTCGCTATATTCGTTAGGGGGCGCGAAATAACGAAATTTTTTTCTGAATGTTCGAGGTGACAGACCTCGACCAAAAACGAAATTTACTCTGGTGTGCTGTACTTATGGACAGGGCCCCTCCCGTGTTGCATTCACGTCCACTTTGTGATGGGCATAATTATAAAACAGACTTGGTGAATTGCCCCAGTGCATTTTCCGGCCCTCCATAGAAAAAAAAATTTCACGGTTCGCGTGAGACTCGGCCAAAGGCCCAGTTTTCCGCATCCGCAGGAACGCCACCACCCTCTTGGATCAAGGCGCAGATGCAGCTCCTAAACGGTGGGAGGTGAGTAGATCAGACCCACCACAACCCCCCCCCCCCCCCATAGAACTCTGTGCTTATTGTGATGTGAAAAATGCACGTTATCATCCTGAACTTTGGCTTTTATGGCGTAGAGGATAGATTACTTGGGCCATTATTTAGCTTTCATTCTTTGCTTGCTATTCTTTGCTGGGTTTCACTTGCTCCGTTTTAATGTAGTTTGTTCCGTCTCAGATGACAGCATCAGATTCTGTCCATCAAAATGCCGATGACACTCATCGCACTGCTCAGTGTGATGGTGTGCATCGTCACCGCCAAGTCAAGGAGCAACCAAGCATGTCATCACCAGCACCTCCCCCCCCCCCCCCCCCCCACCCACCCTCTGCTCTACCGGCTGAGCTTTTGGGATTTTTTGGGTGGTGGGCTTGAACAGAACACCTGTCACCCCGGGAGGGGAAGGGCTTTTTCTTTCTTTAGTTGGGTATTGTTGCTCTGAATAATGGAATTCGTCATGCCTCCTTTTGTGGTCGCTTTGCTGATGGTGTGCTGGTGGCTCTGTTTCAGGAATGGGATCCTTTGGGATAGCCACACTTGTGGGCCCACTGCCTCCAGCTTCCAGAGATACTGCTTTACTGGGACTGAACAGCCACAACATGACGCTGCCCCCCCCCCCCCCACACACCACACACATACATACATGATGACTGCCTGTAGCAGCAGTCAGTACAAAGTACAACAATCAACAGTGGAATTATTCCATGCTCTGTGCCATCATCAGCATGGCCAGAGAAAGTACCTGATAACGGTCAAAATATTCTAAAATATTTTCCCAAGCTGGATTTAAACCAGGCCCGTGTTTTCGTATTTAGCCAGAGTGCTCAAACTGACAAGTCGGCGAGCGCTGCATAACGCAGATAGCAAAGGCGCTAACCCAAAGAGCGGAAAAAAGAGCGTTGTATGTATATAAAAAAAGAAAAAGGAAAAAAAGAGTAAATTATCGTGTCCGTTCCCGAAGGGAACTCACGACGGCCGCTAACACCCGGTAAACCCTAGCTAGACTGTTGTATGTACATCTATGTAAATGTACAGTGGGGTAAGCTGCAGCATTCGGCCTTGTCCAGATTTCTATCAACCACCACACCACACCGTTGCGCTCTCCGTATGTATAATTATATTGATAAAATAATTCAAGGCGATACCCTCCATCACTCCTGGAAAGAGACGTATTACGTAAAATAAAAAGGAACAGTTCTGCCAGCGATCAAGACGCACTAAAAAAGTGTCAAGAAAATGAAACACGATACATGATTGTACCGTAAACGTCAATTGTAGATAGACAACATGCCGTCACACAATGAATGCTAAACTAGGGAAATAAAGAATAGACAACATGCTGGGAAAGTAACTTATAATTTGGTGGAATGAGTAGTATAAAACCTATGAAAAAACTGACGAGCTCAAGACATGATATACAGTCTCAAGCAAAACAACGTCAACTACTGGAACTCAAGTGGAGGAGGTACTACTGCACGGCCAGCATGCACTGACACTTGCTGAACCAGCAGCTACGCCAGCCACCTTGCTAGAACTCACAGCGGCTATGTCAACCCACCCTGCTAGGACACATAGCAGCTACGTCAACCCACCCTGCTAGAACTCACAGCAGGTGAGAGACCACCTGCAGGCAGTCCGGCAGGAGATGCTTCAAACGCTCAGCCTCATCACATGCACGTTTGCGGTTCGCTCACCAGCAGGCAGTCCGGCAGCAGATGCTTCAAACGCTCAGCCTGGCTATGATAGCCCATGCCGTGGATGGTCCGGATGAAGGGGAGGAATTTGTGCACGCCGCCTGGTGAGACATGCTGCATGAAGCAAGTGTTGTGCGCTTCCCAGTTGCTGTTGAGACCTTCTAACTCTCTCACCATCAGGCTGCTTAGCATGCATGCCTTGGCGGCCGAACGCCTCAGGGTATTGGCGGGCAAGGAGAGCACCCATGAGTAGAACTCGTCAATGAAGCGCTGGCTCTGCCAAGGATTGTCTAAGACAGTGATTGAAAAGCACAAGCAGGTATCATGAACAGGTACGCGTGCTTACTAACAGATATGCAGTAGAGTCCAAGAGGTCTAGAACAAATCGGAAGCGCCTCCAATTCTTCAATGTTTATACATGCATGAGCGCAATCCACACCAGTCCCAATGAACACTAGAAAATTGTAGAACCGAAGAGAAGGGAACAAAAACGTTCGGTTCTGAAACCTCCTAGCGTTCCTTCGGACTGGTGTGGATTGCGCAGATGCATGTACTGCATTGAAGAGTCCAAGAGGTGGACATTCTTTATATCATCTCAGGTACATGCCTAGAGAAAGTGGGAATACTTGTCATGAAAAACACCTTTCCCCAGACCCTGCACTTGTCAGGAAACATGACAGGTGGCAAATTGATGGTTTAGAGGCAGACACACAATGCACCTCTTGAAGTGAACTACGAGTTACTGTCGGAGCCTGTATCATCGCATGAGTGCTGGTAACCCAGTGTCAAGCAACATACCAACTCAAGGTGAGAAACCACTCATAAAAGCACATACAAGCACACATACACACACACACACGTACACCATGTACTAGAACCATGCATACGTCCGTCGCAAGAGGAGCACGCAAATCTGCAAATGCACAGGATGTGCACCCACAGATTTTCTATTATAGCAACGATAGCGGATCTGATTCTGAATGAAACAGACCAAGACTAGAGCTAGATAACTGCTAATCCACGTAACTGGCAAAGCCATGTGAATCGACCCCCAATGCACACCTGGTCTACACCACACAGAGCACATCGGAAAAGGACGACCAAGTCCTATGCACACCCTGCACTTGCTGGGGTGTCCAGTATAGACAGCAGGCTGCTTTGATGGAAGCAGACACTAGATGCACTGGTATATTATTGAAGTGAAACTGGAGTTACTTTACCAACCAGCCTCGGCTACTGAGTACTGGGAACCCAGGTTCAACAGGCATGCCAACAACCTCAGCCATGAAAGCTATTCTAGTAACGACACACTATCATGTAACGACACACTAGATTGTGGAGCTGAAACTAATCCAACTTCCAAATGCTTTGGCAAGAAGGTAGCCTTCCGACAGATTGGCACACACACGCGCGCACGCGCACACACGCACGTGCGCGTGTGCCTATTGCCTCAACTACTCTTTAAGCAGTTGAACCACTGTGTGAAAACGCAATATACATACCGGGCATAGGGGTGCCAAGCCGCTCATGGTGTTGGAGGCGTCCTTCAAGCACAGCTCTGCAAAGGAAAGGGAGAAGGAAGTTACATACAGAACAGACCACTGGATTACATCACTACCTGCATCGACACCATTAACACGAATAGACAATAATTATCCTATAGCTGTCTCCAGAATCAGGCACACGTAATGTTCCTCATCCGCAGGTCCAACAGCATAATAACTTTGTGCAAGATATGGTATGTACCGCAGCGCTCTTCAGAGACAGCCAGACTGGCACCTAAGCATCCATAGGTGTGGTACCACCCCGAACCGCTCCAAGGGCGACATGAAAAGCGCCTGAAGTTATCTTTGCAAGCAGCGTGTACATTTCTAGCACAGGATACACAGAGGGTTGTGGAAACTGCCGGATTAATGCTGCTCAGTGCCTGGAGCATGGACCGTACAATGTTACACCCAATATTGGGAAGAGCCAATTGGAACTTTCTGGACAACTATTCAAGTAGCAATAAAGTTAAAAATCGGGTTGCTTCTCTGCTATGTGCAGAAGGTAATGCAATCATCATGAGCGCAGGCGGAGCAATACGATGCACGCATGCCGTATTCCGAGTCAGTTCTGCCTCATGAAAGTCAGGGCTCTCCCAAAGATCATATCAAAACAGAAGCTAATTCTCTCGGTTGCTACTCAAGAAAAAGGAAGACCGCATGTTGGCATTCGGCCGCAGATGACCTGATATTCCCTGTGCTGCGTGTGCAGTACTGTCAGGCGCCGAAGACCGGAGCGCAGCAGGACAAACAGGCTAGAAATTTACCAAGCACAGAATACCAATGTATGCACGGTGACTCAACTGTGTACAGACTGCAGTACAAGAAAAAGAGGAGTGGTCTAGGCGAGGAGGCTGAGGGAGGCATCATGAGTCATGCTCTCTTGATATGCCAACGGGCTTTCTGCTCCTACCACCCCCTCCCCCCGCAATACACCCATACACACACACACACACACACACACACACACACACACATCACTAGCACGTAGGTGTGTGTGCTCGTGCGAGCCAAAACACAGCTACCAAACACATACAGTGCTGTTCAATGAAATCCAGTCGCATCTCTCAAGAGCGCGCCGGGCGTTGCGCAGCCCTAGACCTGCGAACACTTGGCTGCGAAACGGTGCAACGTGCAAACTTGATTGACTCGACTGGATTTCATTGAACAGCACTGTACATAGACACGTCCAGTTAGTGTTTCTATGTAAAGAAAAAGAAAGTTCCCTACTCACATGCTTGGAAGTGGTGTAATGTTGTTGCCAGAACCACCAGCCACAGATCCTGAAATCAATGGGTAAAAATCAAAGAGAGAGAGAGAGCGAGACAGTGTGAGTGAGAGAGAGAGACACACAGACAGACAGAGACAGAGCGACAGAGACAGAGACAGAGAAAGACAGAGAGAGACCGAGACAGGGAAAACAAAGAGAGAATTTTCATGTACATTATACACAATCTAGCTCCAAACAGCTACCTGTTTCAAACACCCATAGTGTATCGTAGAATGGCCAGGCCGGGGGGGGGGGGGGGTATTCCTGTAGACGCTGGTGTTAGGATGAACATATTCGTTTGGCTTTTATTGAAACTGGTACACCAACGTAAAATCATGTGATAAAATACCACGTCTTGCGTGACAAGGGTCAATGTTAAATACCAGGCTTGTTTTAAAAATAAGCCGTGTAAGGAACACAGTAAGAAACCAACATTACCACAGGGAGTGCCCTGAAGTTCACAATACCGTACCAAGCATGCCGCAGTACAGCACTGTGCAGCAGGGTACAGCAAAGCATGGCATGGCATAGTACAGCATGGCACAGCATGGCATAGCACAGCACAGCATGGCATAGTACAGCACAGCGCAGCATGGCATAGCACAGCATGGCATAGTACAGCACAGGAAAGCATGGCATAGTACAGCAAAGCATGGCATAGCATAGCACAGGACAGCATGGCATAGTACAGCACAGCACAGGAAAGCATGGCACAGCACAGCACTGGGCCGCATTGGACAGCACTACACAGCACCGTACCCCACCGGGCAGTACTGCACTGCACTGCGCAGTAGGACACCGCATCACAATGGAAAGCACAGCACCGCTCTGACCAGTACGGCACCGCATTGCACAGCACCGCACTGACCAGTACGGCACCGCATTGCACAGCACCGCACTGACCAGTACGGCACCGCATTGCACAGCACCGCACTGACCAGTACGGCACCGCATTGCACAGCACCGCTCTGACCAGTACGGCACCGCATTGCACAGCACCGCTCTGACCAGTACGGCACCGCATTGCACAGCACCGCACTGTAAAGCACAGCACCGCTCTGACCAGCACGGCACCGCATTGCACAGCACCGCACTGTAAAGCACAGCACTGGATAGCACAGCACAGCACTGGACAGCACAGCACTGCTCTGGACTCTACGGCACCGTGTTGCACTGGACAGCACTGGGCAGCACAGCACAGCACAGCACAGCACAGCACTGGACAGCACAGCACAGCACTGCTCTGCACTAGACAGAAGAACATCGCATCGCACTGGAAAGCACAGCACTGGATAGCACAGCACAGCACAGCACTGGATAGCACAGCACAGCACAGCACTGGATAGAACAGTACTGCTCTGGACTCTACGGCACCGTGTTGCACTCGACAGCACAGCACAGCACAGCACAGCACTGGACAGCACAGCACTGCTCTGCACTAGACAGTAGGACATCGCATCGCACTGGAAAGCACAGCACCGCACTGTATTGCATAGCATAGCACAGCACAGCACCTTCGCCAAACATGGAACTCTTCTTTCTGGCTGACTGGGAACAAAAACACATGGAGCCCAGTGTATTGTGCGGCCAAGTCGCTTACCTGAGAACTTCTCCGCCAAGACGAACTTGGAATCGCGTGTGCCCTGAGATATTGAAACACAACACAACACGCACGCACACGCACACACACACACACACACACACACACACAGACGCACACACACACACACACACACACACACACACAGACGCACACACAAACACACACAAGCACACCAAAGAATTAAACCTCAGGAAAACAGTACGTATTCATTGCAACTGAATTCCTGTTTTGAGGGCAGTATGATGGCATTTGCGAGTGTAAGAAAACCACAGTGGTGAATCAAAACTCGTATCAGGTGCAAAAACAGCACGTGAGGAAACAGGAGTAGTGGATCCAGCTGAAAGCAACAAGGTGATGTTGCAAGACAGGACATTTACCTACATAAGCATTTCCTCTGCCGGTGACGCGTCGTCAAGTTCGGAGCATGTATCTGTTTTCATTGCGCTCTGGACTGAGTACTTAGGGTTCCCTGTAAGAAGACGGCGACCGCTGCAGGGACTTCCCCATTAAAATAAAATAAATCGACTACTACCAGCGGAGAGATCGATAAGGCCAGAAAGGCACGCATCGTGTGTACAAACAATAACACATGAAAGACGTCGAAACTACATTGCTAGAAATAAGCACTGATATTTTCAAGGGCTTCCGTGATCTTCAAATACGCCATGGACGAAATCACACGCCATGGGAACCATCAAAAACACATTGATAACAAGCATCCCTTTAAAAAAAGGAGAAAAAAGGTTCGGGGATAGGAACATACCCAGTGACTCCCTGTGGCAATGGCAAATAGTTCTAAGTGGGAACAATACAATACCCATGTGGTACTAGTCACTGGGGTCTCAACCATCAAGGTCACTTTGTTAGGGACACGGTCAGCAGCATCTGTACAATGACCTGTACGAGATAGTAGCATCTCACCTGCTTCAAGTTAAGCCAGAAGCCAATCGCTTCCAGGGCTTCCCCGTCCAGTTCCTTCTTTTTGCGTGGAAACGTGGCTGGGCAACGCGGTGATTCCCCAGCCTGGACTTGATCAACGAGATGAAAGCAGCCAGCTCTCTGACGACAGCTGACGTCACCATGGGCTGCACAAACTGTTGAGCTGCCAGGGATGCTACTGTCGCAGCAGCACTTGACGGATGTGTGCAGCTCCATTGTGGCGTGGACCAGCTTGGAGTTGTCAAACCACTCCATGATTTGACTCAGCACCGCCGTTCCCAGGTCCGGATCAAGCTGAGCGACGGAGCGACACTCCACCTCCATGGAGAGACTGATGCCGCAGCGTGAATAGTACAAATGCAGCCACTGCTCTTTGCTGGAATTCCACGGCAATTTCATATGCTGCGACGAGAGCACGGTCTCCGACCAGACGGTGGATTGCGGTCGTAGCTGATTGTGCCGCTGGATAACCTTGGTCCCAATAAACAACCATAGCGGCCGTGGGAAATGATGACCAGCTGCAGATGTGATGTAGACTTTGCTGAACAGCTTCGTATCTTCATCTTTGTCGTCATCGTCGCTCCAACAGGCATAATCATTGGTCGCAGAACAGGCAACGGATGGCATCAGGAAGATTCTTTTTTCCTTGCCTGACTTCAGTCGAATTGCACCTGCATCAGCTAGCAAGCACATCTCATCCATTAACTTGACAAAGTATTCACGCTCCACAGGATTTCCTACGAGCTTCCTGAACCGGCAAGCTTGCTTGGGTGAACTCCGTTTTTCCCAGAGGGTTTTAGCCATGCTGTCGGTGACAAAGCCACAGTAATACAGGTGGTAGTCATCGCGATCACTTAGCGGGTAGTCATTGAGCTCCAGCTTCGGCACGATAAGAGCACCTGCCGCTTGCAGCAGGCCGGGAACATTGATGACTACCTTGTGACGCAGCTCCTCGCAATGCTCAAAGCCAAGAATATTGCCCATTCCTTGATGAAACTGCAGCATAGCCTTGAAGTCGTCTTCATTACTCTCGGTGACATTACCCAAGCTTATGGCCAACTCGCGCAAGTCGTCCAACCTGACCCAGGGCAGAGCGATATCTCCAGTGTCTGCTGTCTCCAGCAATACCAGAGTCTCGAGGAGGCGCGCTAGAGGAATTCCCGTGTGACACATGCTTTCTTCCATCAGTTGCTCTCGCAGGTAGACTACGCCAACATCGTGCATTCCGTTGTGCTTGTTATCGACAAATACAATGTCTTTTTCCTTCTTCAGCAACGAGGCGAATCCCTTGCCCTTCAGACTTTTAAGGATGCGAGATGTCTGCCCTTCCCAATACCCGGGTGTGTTGTCGTCTGAGTTGCAGTCCTTCCGACAACCGACAATGAACACACGACATGCCTGGCTCTCAGGCAAGTGACTGACAGACTGCATTGCTTCATGAATGTAGTAGAGGCTGTCCTGACGTGAGCCCGGTGTGGGTACTTCCCTTGCTGTGCCAACTTCTTTCACCTGTAGACAAGTAAAGATTGGTGTTGAATGGTAACCCAGCACGTACGCACACACACACACACACACACACACACACACACACACACACACACACACACACACACACACACACACACACACACACGCGCGCACATGCTCACGCACACATGATGAGACAAACACAATAATCAATACAATGAGTTCTGACTCTGAGCTTTTGCTTATCGCTCGTTTTTCGGCCGACCGATTTGGGGATTTTACTAGTAATGATCTTCCTAATGGCAAATGTTTGTTTGAGAAGAGGCCAAGGACACGAGTCACACGACCTCAATGCACTAGTACTACAAGTACTGAAGTAGATAGTTCGAGCGGTCATGCTTGCAGCAACATCATTCGTAAACACACTTTGCAACAACATTTGGTAGACCTTCGGCTATTCTCAAAGGAACCCTCCAAAATCTGCGAAAAGATAAGCGATTTTTCGAAAAGTCTCGTTTTCGGCGAATTTTTCGGCCGGCCGATTAGGAGAAAGCCTAACCTGCATGCATGCACACATGCTTGTGCATAAGGATAAACACTAAATGCAAACAGCACCATTTCAGAAGCACTGCACCCTTTGCAGTCAACATTGAGTATATCCAAGATTCCAGTATTCATTAGCCATATCAACAACAAAAAAACAAACAAAAAAACATCCACACAAGTGAGATTTCGCTCTAAATTTCTGATATGTAATAATTGCTACATTATTCCCGTAGCTATGCAGAAGACGTTACTTCAGTAACGTCTGGCGCTAGCCAGGGTCCACACAGCTTTAATTTGGTGTTTGTTTGTTTGTTTGTGTCACGCCTGGCGCTATCCCGTATCTGTCCCGTACCGTATCGCACAGCTGGTATCTGTCCCGTACCGTACCGTACCATCAAACACAGCTGGCTACAAACAGCTGGCCACAATATTATGTACATGTATACGACTCCCTGTGTGTTGCATATGTGCTTGAAGGGGACGGTTGCACTTTTTGTAGCTCCGTTTTATCTGAATTTTCAGTCGTTCCTCTTACTAGTCTTGCCAAGGGGGTGGCTCTGGGTCCACCAGAGTTACCCCTGGAGTATTTCTGAATTTGCTGGGGCGAGGGTTCCGCGACACGGTCGCCAAGGCAGTGGCTTTTCAGTCAAGACCGTTGTCGTCCTCGTCTCTCCATTCGCGGTGGTGTAGCTGACCCCCGAATGGTTTCAAACTGCGAAGCTCGGAGGAGTACAGTGGTGGCAGAGGCATGAGCTGTGAGTGGAGACGGTTGCTGGAGATGGATGGTGATGCAGGGAGAAGAGTTACGCTGCCTGACGCCGTGTGGGAAATTGTTTGAACCTGCAATTTCAGTTCGAGCGCGGTGGACTTCTAGACGATGTGTCCTCATGGCTGTTTTTCAACGCTTGGCCTATCGCTGATATCCCTGCGTGGGATGTTCTTCCAGTGGAGTCCAGGTGGGACTTCGGGTGCCCACACTCCATCACCTGGTTGATTGTTTCGGAACTGCAAAAATAATTATTGTTTCCTATTTTGTGCGCATCTCTTGTCATCTCTCTTTTCTATACGTCGCACACCAGATGTACTACTATCGCCGTCTTTCTCTTGCTTTCTCTCCCTGCTTGCTGTTTTTCTGTTTCTGTTGCCACTGTCCCTCATCATACCCATGCTTGGGTGGTGGGCGGCGGACCCGTTAGGGTTGCTGCCAATACAGTACGACTCCCTGATGTATAGAGAGACTTTCTGGAAAGAAATAGGGAGACGAGGAGGAAATGAAATTAGAATGGATGTTAGTTGCCGAATAGGTGATAGGATGCGTCAGCAAAAACATACTTTGGAAGAGAGATCCCGTCGTGTCCAAAATAGGCGTGAACGGGCGAGTCAGCGCCGGTCACAGGAAACGTCGGCAGAGTGATCCCGTCGACTCCAGAACGCGCGTGCTCGGCAGAGTCAGCGCCTTCCCAGGAAACATATCCATCAGTTCCCACAACATGCACGATGAGCTAAGTAACAAAGCATAGCGTAGGGCCCTGAGCTTCCAAGCTCTCTCGTTTAAAAAAATATTAAAAATTATGCAGTACCGTAGCACAGAAAGAATCCCCTAATCCGGGCAGGTGGGAACTGAGCACCGGTTGGCTGTAATCAGGAATCGCCCGCTACTCAGAACAATGAGAACGTACATACTTACTGCATGCAAGTACACTCTCCCAACTGACAGGTGTCAAATAGATATGACCTTTGCGAAATAGTTCAAGTCACACACAAACATGCTAGCTGTCCTATTGTTTCCGGCCTTCAGGACAAACACATAATATTGGGCACAGATAATTATAACAAAATCCTGTACCTTCTCCACTGGAGCTATGGCATCCACAGCATGCCCAGCATTGTACACGATCAGGTAGGATGTACGGTACGAGCTGTAGAAAGAACGCTGCATCAGCTGGTAAGCGTGCTGACCAGCGGTGTCCCACAGTCGAAACACGTGTATGGACGTGTCAATGGATAGATGACCGTCTTGCAGCTTGCAGTAACCCTTCTCTGTCACTCGCCTCAGAGCGGAGCGGAACACATGACTCGAGCGACCCTCCGCCTCCAGCTCAGAATCTTGTGCGCCGAGGGCAATGGAAGCTTGCCTGTGGAGCAGAGATCTAGAGGCTGATTCGCTTCCACGTCCTGCAATAATCTTGACAAGTTCAGTGCTAAGAGACTGTGTTTGCCATGCAGCCTTGGAATCACCTCTTCGGCTGATGGCAGTTGTCGCTTCTATTCCAATAGTGCTATTGTCCGCATCGGTTGGTATCGCCTCTCCACATAGCGAGGAGGTGAGACTTGATTTCCCGGACTGTGATTCACCAATGACCACAGCGCGGGCAAATGGGATCGTGATGTCCACGTTGGGACGGCCCACGCCATTTTCATATGCAGCCCTGCTGTCAGCTACACCTGAGATTTAGGCCAAAAAAGAAAGATGAGGGGCAAACCAGATATTTCAAAGTACATAGTTTTAGGACACATTGTGATATGTATGGCACACGTCAAGTTGGTTTGTAAGCATGTATTCATGATGGAAGTTGGCTAGTTCCCTCAACTTTTTTTCATATTAATGATAGCTTGCATGCCGTCCTACCGGTAGGACCCAAGAAATCGCGCTGCAAAAGTGCTTTTGGTTGAGAAATTTCTTGAAACAATTGTTGAGATGAGGTCTTTGTCAGGCAAAGTAATGGCGCAAAATGCAAGGCTATGTCCAGTGCATTGCATACGCGCAATTTTATCAATAATTGTCAAAATGGCCGCACATACTCCTGTCGGAGCGATAGCAACTCTGTCCAAAGTGAATTTTGACCATGGCACATCAATCGTGGTGAGGTACTAATGTTTTTATTCGTCTGCCAAGGCAGTGGAATGCAAAATTCCATGCACGTTTCCATGGTTACCATGGGCTGTTACCATGGAATTTCGTAGTATGCCTTGTGTGATCACGTCTAAAATTTGTGGACTCCTTCATTAGCCCCTGAGCAACAGTTTAGAATCAAGTTTTTGGTCAATGTTAGAACAGAGGCCATGCAGCATGTCTGTGTATGATGGTCCTACCGGTAGATCCTACCGGTAGGACCGAGGTCTATGCAAGCTATCATTAAGAAAGGTTCTTACGGATTCATTACAGAGGTTTTGCAGAGCGAACATTCGTGTGAATTTTCGTTTGACGCCACGAAAAGCGAAACTGCGTGCGAACGTTCGCAGTTTTATTGCGAAAGTTAAAGGAAATGTGAAACAAACTTTCGCAGTAATTTTCGCTGATCGCGGACAAGGGGTGAACCACCCTCATGCAATGTGTTGTGCTTCATCTGTCACAATCCGGTATATCTTCTCTTGGCTTGGTCCGCTGGTGCTAGTTTTCCCATGTGGCAGCCAGGCGTGTTGCTTCATCTCCGGAACCATCTGTGATCGCCTGCCTGCTCACCTCATAGTCAGCTACAGCAGTGATGCAGTTTTTTTCATTTGCAGGTGATGATGCGCCGAATTACGGCATAGGCCAACCCGTTTGTCTGTGGGTCTCTGACCATGGACAACGTAGTCAAAGAGCTCTCGTCTCAGGGTGCCGCCACTTGCAACAAAAAGATTCTTAGCTCGAAATCCCATGCGAAGTTTCGCTTTGCAAAACGCCTCTAGTATCAGTTGTTTCTCTCTTTCCACTCTCTATCTGTCTTTTCTTTGTCTGTCTGCCTGCCGCTTTCTTTCTCTCTTCCCAATGGTCTCTTTACTGTAAACACATTGAAATGTTTGTTTTCGCTCTGATAATGGACCATGCTTGAAATGTCAAGCGAAAAGTCAAAGAATCACAGTAAAGAGACCCAAACATTTCAGAGAGAGAAAGAAAGAGCTGTGAGAAACTAAGTAAGCGGGAGGGGGTGGGGATGGAGCTTTTGAGAGATGGATGATGTATACGTATGCGGCTTTCTTGAAGTGTCCTAAATAGTAATATTTCAAAATGAATCCATCCTTCCAACACATAACATAGGGAGGGGTTAAGACATTTGTTCAAAGGATGAGGAGAGTGGAGGACTGCAGGTGTCATTCCACCCCTGATCACTGGTGACTTCCCAGGTTCAACCATGAGTCATGGGTATTTGACCCTTGTATATAGTGCTTCCCTTCTACTCAAAAACATGCTTTTAGCATCACCATAATAGATTCAACATATTCATAGCCAATTCGGACTCGTCGTGTAACTACAAAGTAATTGAGCACTTCATTGTCATTTGTCTATAGTACGGAAATGCCCAAGCTAAAACTAGTAGCTCTAGAGTCTGTACCTGGTGATGATTCATCTTGGTTGTCAGTGGGGCGTACTGCAGGTCTAGACGGAGAAGCATTGCGAACGTGTTCATGCAACAATGCAACTAGTTCATCATCGTGTCCACTGTCTGTCAGCAGTTGGACGAATACACGAAACGACTCTTCAGAGCCCTTCAAGAGAATATCAAGAAGACGTGCATTACTTTCATGTGTATTTCGCGACCTCCGTATTTCGTTAACATGGGAACGTGAGAGAAGTCCATAGGAATAGGCATGGACCACAAACTCGTTAGTTTGAATCTCTTCCCTGAAACGAGTATAATTCCTCCGCACTGCAAACCACGGATCTGAAAGAAAGAAATATATTTTGCAGAACAGATAGATACACCACCATGACAATGCATAGACAGAATAGGAAAAGTAGACGGTGAGGCCAAGGAGTCTTACCCTGGCAATGGCACAAAAGCATCCCCCCCCCCCCCCCCCAAACACACACACAAAATTCACATGAGTGATGCCGTCTTTGAACGTGGAACAATAACAGTACTATAATCTGCTCTTCAATGTGGGGTCCCAGAGAAATGGGCACTTTTGGCCAAAAACAAGGACAAGAACAGCAACAGCAGCAGCAAAACTATTACAAGTTCTGCGCACCTGTCCACCAACTTCCATCAGATAATTTTTTTCATTGCCAAACCATGCAATCATCTGTCGTTAGCACATTTTTCCGGCACCTGACAAGTTTCACGAATAGTTACTCCTTTGGATTCTCGGATTATGGCTGAATTGTACGTGCACTGGTCTGACGGACCAGGCACTGCCCGCAATTAGGAATTGCCCGGAACTCAGAACATACCGGTGCATTCATACTGGTTGCATGCAAGCAAACAGTTTTGTGCCAATCAATAGTTTTAGGGGCTTTTCACGATTTTTGTGACTCTACAGGGATCAGGAAGGTGCCTGGTAGATGAAAGTATCCAGATCCGGGGAATCCGGTTTAACTGAGTTTCACTGTCCGAAAAAGCTGCAATGCAGTGTTCGGCCCTCATTGATAGCTTGCATAGACCATCATACACAGACATGCTGCATGGCCTCTGTTCTAACATTGACCTACAACTTGGCTCTAAACTGTTGCTAAGGGGCTAGTGAAGGAGTTCACAAGTTTTAGACGTGATCGCACAAGGCATACTACGAAATCCCGTGGTAACAGCCCATGGTAACCATGGAAATGGAGTATAGAATTATGTATTCCATTGCCTTGGTAGGGTAATAAAAACATTAGGACCTCACCATGATTGATGTGCCATGGTCAAAATTCACTTTGGACAGAGTTGCTAGCGCTCCGACAGGAATATGTGCGGCCATTTCGACAATTGATAAAATTACACATATGCAATGCACAGCAGGCATAGTGGGATGGTCTAAGACCATGATTGAGAAACAGAGGGCACCAGGTTCAAGTCCTGCTTGGAAGCGGAAGGATTTTTTCCAGCCGTGCTGCGACCCACAGTTATTTGGGAACTTGTGGCCTGGCACGAGGGTAACATGGATGCAGCTAATGGGAGTTCGGTCTTTGACCACTTGGTGGTGGGTCTGATCTACTCACCTCCCACCGTTTAGGCGCTGCATCTGCGCCTTTGATCCTAGAGGGTGGTGGCGTTCCCACGACGGATGCGGAAAACTGGGCTTCCAGCCGAGTCTCACGCGAAGCCACATTACTTTGCCTGACAAAGATTTCTGAGCCAAAAGCACTTTCGGAGCGCGATTTCTTGCGTTCTACCGGTAGAACCCGTGGTCCTACCTGTAGGACGGCATGTAACCTATCATGACACCCAATCGAACACGGTTGAGTGAGTGGTCAAGTGATCATGCGCACACCAGTCTCCTGGTCACCTTGCACACAGGCTACACTATTTACAGCCTGTTTGGGCGCGTTCCTGTCACTCGTGTTGAACCTTTGAACCTGCGAGTTGAACTTTGGTGTGAAAGTTGGACCATGCAGGCATGGTGACCAGGCGACTGGTGTACGCATGAGCACGTGACCGCTTACTCAACTGTGTTAGATTGGGAATAAGGGCTGAACGCTGCATCGCGGCTTTTCGGACCAAAACCAGTCGACTCAGCGTCCAAAAGACAACAACATAAGCCTAGTTCACATTCGACGGGGCGCGACGGGACGCGACGTAAGGATCGACGGGACGGTCTGACGGTGTCCAATGGGAACACCAGGAATGGGAACGCAACCGTACTACTGTACAGATCGGGAAGCGACGGGAAGAGTTGGATCGATTCAACTTTTCATACCGTAGACGGCGTACAAAACGGCTGCAATTCGAGTGTGAACAGGAGATAGCTTCGTGCGCCGACTAATCCCGATTCGTACTTGGAAATTTTAATTATTTTGAACACTGCGCTTCCCATGAGAACTCACAGAGTGGCTAGCACGACTTGAGTTGAATTTGAGCAAGATAAGATCTCCTGCGCCTTTGATCCTAGAGGGTGGTGGCGTTCCCACGGCGGATGCGGAAAACTCGGCTTCCAGCCGAGTCTCACGCGAACCGTGAAATTTATTTATTTAAGTAATAATAATATGAACAGGTCGCATATTGCCCGCACAAACAAATCATACGAGGGTCATGCATCTGTCAATGATCGTTAACCAGAGTTGCTTGTTGGTGGCAAGGCTGAGGCATTCCTGAATCGGCACATTCAGAGGCTTGAGGTCTTCTTTGATTTTGTCGACCCATCTCTTATGGGGTTGTCCACGGGGGCGCTTGATGTCCGAAGTATTGAGGGCTAGTTGCATTGCCTCGTAAGAGGGCGCGTCTGGTCCTTCCCGGTATACTTCCCCTTTGAATAAATATTTTAGATATTTTTCTTAGTACTAGTACGAGAGTAACAGTTACTTACCACTAGGGCGAGACATCAAGTCGGAGTCCAGACTTTCTTTGAAGACGAGCAGGGAGAGACGGCGACTACCGGTACTATTCTACAACAGTGCCCGTTGTAACTCATCCACCGTCGGCCACGGTGACTTCATGTGCACCAACTAACGACATGGCGTCCTTTCATGCGGTTTACCGCACGGATTTATGAAGTCGGACATATTCCGATTTATTTGCATCAATCGCACAAAATTAGGTACATTTCTCTTGTAAACCCTGTCAGTTTGAGAATTTAGACAAACACCGAACAAATTTTAGCCGCGACGAGGATCGGGAGAAATCCATCATAAGGCCAAACTAAAGAAGGTGTGTGGTTCGACTCACCCGACCGACCGTACAATTTCAGCCCGACCGTAACTTTTTTTCGGCGGGCTGTCGTGTGACTGACGTACGTGGACTGAACACGTCCACGTCTACGTGCTGTGCGGCGTGAGTCTGCGGACGCAGGCGGCTCCTTTTGGACTTGACTTGTAGTTGTACTGCAGTGCAGTGCAGTGAGTGGTACGACTGCTGCCTTGTGCTGGTAGTAGAGTCTACTCGATACGCGTACACAGTGTATTTACATGTACTAAAAAATATATATTAAAAAAAAAAATCCGCCCGCCCGCCCGTAAAAAAAATGTCCATGTTAGTCGAACCACACACCTTCTTTAGTTTGGCCTAATTATTATTTTACATAGCTACTACCATCACGTCGACCGAGTGAAGATCGAAATGATAATGGAGTGGAGAGAAGAAGACCTGAACTAGAGTGCTTGAGAGACTATGTAGTGTCACATGAGAATTGCTTCGTTAGGAAGGCTCTCCTTTTGAATGGAGAAGCCCAACGTCGCTGATCTGCATCGCCGTTTTCAAGCGCTGATCTGCAGTAGGAATGTTTTTGTAAATTATTCGTAGTTGTGGACGTGGATGGATTCAGCGCTCTGTTCTCTCAGCAAGCCTACTCAGTCCAACACGAAGGACTTCCATGAGCGAAACAACGTGCTCCTCGAGCAAGTGCAGCTCGGGGTAATATGGCCAATGCCACGGGAGACCACCTCGTGCCTGCATAAGGCCAAGAATTGATGGCAAGAAATCTTTGATGAGCGCCTTCGACTTCAAGGACGCAATATTATATCTCCTCAGCAGTAACTGCAGCGCTCTTGCTGAAAATATCACTGCCAGCAGGCACTAGGCATGATTTAGCGAAGAGCTACTTGTACTAGCGATTGGAGATTTGGTGTTGGCATATCTGCTCCATCCTGGTAACTGGTGCGTTTGTCAAGGCAGTGCAGTTTCTGCTGCTGTTTCACAAGCCATATGCGCATATGCGCAGTGAGTAGGAATTTGTTGTATGATAGCTGAGGATCACCAGCCTTCATGGACAAACCTATGTTGGGACTGGTTGCTGAACAGTGCACACCTAAATCTCTCAGCAAGCTCTCTTGCTCAGCTGGTGACGAACACTATATACCCGCTGCTTTGGGCTTGCAGCCCCGTCTCCCGACCGTAGACCGATCGAAAGGCTGTCACGGTCCTGTGACCATCGGCGTACAGTTGACACTGATGGGGCATCGGATAAAGTGCTGGCGTCAGTAATTCTCTTGTATACCTGGAATCTACATCTACAGCTGGTTTCGACTTCCAGCCATCCTCCGTTAGTTATGCTTGTGACTATCATGCCAGCAAGTCGATCAGCAGCATCACCTCGCATCTTTGATGGTGAGGCCTGCAAAACGTCACCGACCAGTGACGATGCTCAAATAGGGCACCCTACCAGAGCTGGCGCAGTGTATGGTGCAGTCTTTCATGAATCCATAAACTATGCTGTTCGGCTGCTGTAGCTCTGACGCTTGCGTGTGTGCCTTACATTAAGGGCAGCGGGCCGTCTGCTCTAGCCATTTGCCAATGCATGCACGGCTGAACGTCTACCAGCAAGCTGCAAACACTTCTCTCTCTACCTGTGACATAGTGGACATTGTGCGTGTGTTATTGCATTCCTATATGAACTGTCCTGGATGCAGAGATTTACCCACTAAGCCCTAGAGAAATATGAATAAATACTATACTACTATTACTAAACTTGGTATGCGGGTGTGACGTGCTGCTGCTCATCAGATTCGGTCCATGCGACGCTCGTGTTTTTAGTTTTGTTATTTTGTCTTCCTTTTTTGAATTCGTAAACCAAACAGACTAAACTATCCAGTGATCAGGTACTGGTGTGGTGGGGCAAGGTTTTGTTGGTGATGCTGCTGTCAGTGGTGGCGGCGTGCATGTGCTCGTGCTTGCGGGCGATGGCCCGCGTTTTCTCCCATGCCGCAAGTTTGTCTTGCGTTTGTGTTTTGCATTTGGACTTCCTGCCAGGCTTGGAAGACTTGCATTTCAAACAGTTTGTCCCACTGTGTGGCTCCCAGTCTTTGAACGGTGTACATCCACCTCTGGAGCTCCAGAGAATGTTGGGCCCCTGGCAGTAGCAGTGCATTCCATGGCCAATTTGCAAGTGTGGCAAAAAAGTTCAGGGTGTATTTGGTTTCATCCACATCAAGCTGAGATGAAACACTGCCAAAATGGATTGAGTATGATCTGCCACACGATACTTCGTCCGTCCACTCCTTGACGCGAATTTCTCCCCTCCAATACGACAACACGACGACAGGAAGCTAACATGAGCCTCCATTTCTGAACAAAATAACGTCTCTAACATGGCCACGAAAAGCTACAGTTATGCACGTCAAGCTTAGGAATACACGAAATCGAAAGGCTAGGACATCGAGGTATACTAGAAAATTGTCTGCGAGGCGGAGAAAATTCGCTGACGAGGTTGGTGAGCCCTTGAAATCGAGCGACGATCCAAAAATAATTGCACCCACGTCGAGAAAGAAACCATGCGTAGCGCGTGGGTAACCCAAAAAGATCGCTCGAGCGGCGGCACATGTGCAGTCGAAGGCAAGGCCAGTCCAAGCTCTAAACTCTATCGAATGACCTGGCAAACACCCGTGGTTTCGGTTGACCTTGCCCGTTTGAGATGGAAGTCGAGCGAAATTGCAAACATACAACTAGGCCAGGTCGCGTAAAAAATGAAAAATATTAAAATTTGGCCGCCATATTTAATGAACGCCCGTCGCATGCATGGGACAGCCGTGCGGCCGCGTTGCGCCCCTTCGTTCACTCACCATGATTCATGAACGCTAACGTATAACTCTGAACGTTACTTTCCTTTTTTTTCTCCTCAGGCAAACTATAGCGGTGTTTACATGAGGCGTTTCAACCCGGGTTGAGTTCGACCTGGGTCAGATTTCAACCCGCCATGTGCATAAAATGAATAGGGCTTGAAAGTGCTACGTCACTCCATAGCAATGGCATAGCAACAATTTGAAAAATTCGAAAACTGGATCCACCTGGATCCAGTTTTTGTATGGATCCAAGCACATTTCAAGCGGTCTCACTCACAGCAAGGTGATGTTGCCAGTGAAACTGACTGATTTGGCTAGTGGGGGCGGGGTGACAACTGGTGGCGAAGTAAAAGTTGCACCTGCATACGACATGAGTGGGTTGCTATGCACCCACATACTGAGGCAATAGCAAAGTCACACCTTAGTGGATCCAAAATAGAAATCTGATGTCAATTTACTACTCCCAGGCCGTTTTTGACGTCATCACTTTCAAGCCCTATTGCGCGTTTACATGACGCATTGCGCTTGACCCGGGTTGAAATTTCGCCCCGGGTTGATTTCAACCCTCCCCCCAAGGGGAGGGTTGAAATCAGGGAGTCGTAAAAGCCCGGGAGAGGACACGGGATGCGCGCACGCGGACGATGTTTGCCTCGGCCAGAAAGTGAAGCACGCTAGGCCGGCGCGGCCGGATCTGCTCGATCCACGGCGCTGTGCTTGTCTTCAGGGCAGGGAGTCCTAAAATACCAATATTTTATAACTCGTTGTTGACACCATTATCCGAAACTGGTGGCGAAGGAAGGATAAACATGATTGTATGTCTGTCAGACTCAGTACAGGGGTGGGGAGTTGAGTGTGTGTGTGTGTGGGGGGGGGGGGGGGGGGGAGGCGTGTGTATGTGCACATGTGCTTGTACTTTTGTGTGTGTTTGTACAGTGTTTGTGTGTGTGCTTGTGTGTGTGCGCGCGAACGTGTGTGTGCATTTTTGTGCACAATTCCGTTATGAAGTACAAATGATAGGTTTACCTATTTGTACACTCGCCAAGACTTCCGTTTCCTAAACGGCTCAAGTCACCGCGTACTCAGTATACGAGTAGAAAAGTGTTGAAATTATCAAGATTTATAAATAACGACCTGCAACCATGTACAATGTAGATAGATAGGGAACACACATTGATTGTTTTTAAAAGAATCCAGGCATTATCATGAATCATGGAACGAGTGCGTAATAATGCTCTATGTTGCGTTTTGACGATGCTGAAGGAAGGGAGCCGTCGCGATTTACTCACAACACACGCACAGAAGTCCACTCGACTGCAATTTCTGACACAAATTCATAAATCCACGAGTACGCCGAGGAAGCTCAGCGGATCTCCACAAGAACTTTCGCCCATCACCTGCAATGGAATATGGGCTGTATGATACGACCAGTGGTTAACACGGGAAGTGGCGTCATTTTCCACAAATCTCGTTTCATTCACAACCATTTGACTGCAATTCAGTGCAATTTCTGCCGCAAATTCAACTCCACGAGTACGAGGAAGCTCAGCGAATCTCAACACGAACGTTCGCCCATCACCTGCAATGGAATATGGGCTGTATGCTACGACCAGCGGCTAACACGGGAAGTGGCGTCATTTTCCACAAATCTCGTTTCATTCACAACCATTTGACTGCAATTCAGTGCAATTTCTGCCACAAATTCAACTCCACGAGTACGAGGAAACTCAGCGGATCTCAACACGAACGTTGGCCCATCACCTGCAATGGAATATGGGCTGTATGCTACGACCAGCGGCTAACACGGGAAGTGGCGTCATTTTCCACAAATCTCGTTTCATTCACAACCATTTGACTGCAATTCAGTGCAATTTCTGCCACAAATTCAACTCCACGAGTACGAGGAAACTCAGCGGATCTCAACACGAACGTTGGCCCATCACCTGCAATGGAATATGGGCTGTATGCTACGACCAGCGGCTAACACGGGAAGTGGCGTCATTTTCCACAAATCTCGTTTCATTCACAACCATTTGACTGCAATTCAGTGCAATTTCTGCCACAAATTCAACTCCACGAGTACGAGGAAACTCAGCGGATCTCAACACGAACGTTGGCCCATCACCTGCAATG